TTACTAATTAATACTATTTAATATACATATTTTGTAATCTCAGATTAAGGTTTTCAGATTAAGATTTTGAAATCAAGATTTTCGTGTAATATAAATATAAAAGAAGAAAATAAAATATAAAAGAAGAAATGGAATATAAATGAATAGATTTATAAATGTATTAACTAATTAATTTATATAGTATTACTAAATATAGTTATATATGTGAAATGTTAATATTAATATAAGACATTTGTGATTGAAATTGTAAATCTCAGATTTAGGATGATAAAAATATATGAAAATAAGAAAAAGAAAATAAATATAAGATTTAGAGTAATAAAATAAAAGTAAAATAATTATACAATTGGATAAAAATAATATTAATCAGGTGATAAATTATAAAAATTAAGAAAGAGAATTTCGCATAATCAATGAAAGATTATTAAATTAGAGAAATTTATATTACTATGGTAACAGTATAATGAATAAAAAATACAAACTTTAATTATTAATACTTGTATATATAATCATAAACAAAAGATTAATTATTAAATTAAAAAAGAACTTAATATTTTATATTAACAATTACTTAAATATAATAAAAAAAACTTTTTTTATATAAGAAATTATTAAATAATATAAGAAACAGGTTAATGCAAATAAAAAATTATAATATGAAATTAAAAAAAAGATATAATTACAAAAAGCAAAAAAATATCTTGAATATCTAAAATTATATTTTATTAATCACATTAATAAAGAAGTTTATTATAATTAATCTGAATTTTATGTAAATACTTCAAAGGTATACTTAAATCAAAGATAATAAATTTCTATTTATATAAATATTAGTTAATAATTTTATAGATACTATATTAATTATTAATATATAAATAAAGTATTCTGCTTGGCTCATTAAAAATAAGAATTATTAAAAAGTGCAATATATTTTAAGTTTTTTCTTATTAGTTTTGAATAATCAAAATAGCTTTATAAGATATATATTGAAGAATATTGGAATAATAATTTTTAATAAAATAAAATATAATATTTTCTTGGATCTTTTTTGATTCAATATATATATCCTTGAATATAATTATTATATTTCTTTTTGAAAAGAATGAATTTAGCTTTAAAATTTTATAGCTCTAAATATAATATCTTTATGATGTAACTCTAAACTATTTGTGATTATCTGAAATATTAATTTAAAATATATATATATATGAGTTCTTTGAGATAATAACCAATAAATATAATATTTTTATACTTAATATTTCTAGTACCTTCTTTTTTACTATTAAACATTTTGTATGTTTTATTTTTAAGTAAAAAATTAATAACTTTAATAGATTTTTCTGTATTTGTTTGTTTTGTAATTAATATTATAAAGTGCTATTAAGAAGTTAATTCTTGCTATTATATTTCTCAGATTATTTATATTCAGTGATATTATATACAAGCTTTTTCTATTTTTATTCTAATTAAAATAAGTAATACTAATTATAATATCAAAAAATATATATTCTATATTTTTTTCTTGATGCATATATATGTATGATAACTACCAGGAGTATATATAGAGATTTTGATATTTGACTTTAATCTTTTTAAAGAATCTAAAATTTAAGTTTCGAATATCAGTACTCGTATTGTATTAAAGGCAACTACATTTATCGTTCCAGTCAATTCCTTGCTTACAACTTGACAATAATAACCAAAAAAAATTGAATAACCTATAATATGAGAAACAAAAACGCAAAATGCTCCAATTACCTTTCCAAGCCCATCCTGTGACAATATCTATAGATAGTGTCATGTTGTGTATTCAAAGGGTTCTTTAACAGGGATATCCAATAGCTTGGGGTGATTTCAGGTAATATTGTTCGCGTTTCAGTTATCAATAAATAGTTGTCCGTTTCATCAAATTATAAACTGGTATTCTAACAACAACGCCTTTTCTAGTATAAAGATCCTAACAAACAAACATGTTAACGTTATATGCACTATTCTACTTGAGAAAATTGTACGCAATTGACTTTAAAAGAATTATGAATAAATCTAATCTTTATTGAGACAAATAAATAATCTTTATATTATAAGCTATCTATCTACTTAAATAATGAACTGATATGTTAAGAATAAAATTAAAATATAATGGACGTAGTAAATTCTAAATAAAGTGATTATTGATAAGAATAATAATAAATAAAATAATAAAAGATAAATGCAAGAGAATAATATTTTAATAATTTATCTTCAACTTCTTAATCATTTTTTAAAAATACAAAATAAAAGCAAATTCAAAAGCAAAATTTTGATAAAACAACTAAAATTTCTGATATCTCAGTTATCGCAATTTCTAGGTTATGTAATAAGCTAGAATATATTTGTATAGAAGGTTCAAATATTACTGATATCTCATTAAAAGAAATTGCATATTTCTGTTCAAAACTCTGTCATTTACACTTGGATGAATCTTGTAATATCACCAATAATGAATTTGTGCTATAGCTATTTCACACGCCAATATGCATTGCTTTTATTTTGCAGGTTACGATTTTAGTGATAAAGATATTAATTTTGATATATCTGTAAAGATTATTGCGAGATCATGCCCTAAACTCTAATTTCTCAATATATCCTGACTTTATATAACTGATAAATGTATTTTAATATTAGTACATTTATGCCAAGATCTGGCAAGACATATTCTTAAAGAATGTGATATTACAAATACTTCTATTTATACAATAACAAATTCATATCATAATATTTAATATCTCTATATTGATGATTATTGACACATCACTAAAATTACATTGTAAACAATGGCATATTAACAACTTAGGTATTTGCTTTATCATTATAAATTCTGTAAACAATGGCATATTAACAACTTAGGTATTTGCTTTATCAATATAATTACAATAAATCAATAATAATATATTAGAATATCATGATTTCCGGGAACGGGTCGGTGTGTCAGTTAATCACTGATCAGATCGGACAATCACGTGGACGAAAAATGTCGCCTACACTTATGGCTAGCAGGGTTGTCACTTTTATAAGTTCAAAAATCTGGAGTTTTTTTGACTTAAGTAATTTCTTAAGTCCAATGACTCAATTTTTATAAGTCCAAATAGTCCAAGTAACAACCCTGAGTGGCTAGAGTATATACTATATGTTAGGTAGTTTTTCGTCACGGGAAAAATTTGTGTGAATCGATTTGATTTGTAGTTTTTATCGTTAGGGCTGTGACATATATTACGTAATATATGTTTACTATAGAACTCACCCCCAATATATTTGAAACACGTGACTCTATATATTATATAAGACATGACACTGTTAGTATCCCCTCCCCCATGATATTACGTAATATCTGTCACAGCTCTTATTGTTATTGATTTCGCAATAGCTTAATTCTGTTAACAAATTAGTTCTCGTTATCGTTACCGTAAAAACCCGAAAATAAGCAAACCATTTTTGCATGATTTTATGCTTGAAAAACTGAAGGGTAGCTTATTTTCGAGGGTAATTTTCTCAGTAAAACATAATACTCTTGCAGAAATTTAAGCTTTAAAAATGGGGTAGCTTATTCTCGGGGTTGCTTATTTTCGGGTTTTTACAGTATTTAACAAGGATTTAACATTACATATTACTTAACACTGTAATATTAGACATGAATTCGACACTTATTTAACATTAATTATCGACCGAATTTGATGACTGTCTTGATCGCAATAATTTTGAATATCTGCAATCTATCGAGGATTGCGAAAACTGCTTTTTTTCACTCGACCAACTATTCCATTTAAATATCAGCGTAGCATCCCTATAAGAAAATTTGCATGTAAAAAAATACGAAAAAGTCTGATATCAATATGTCACAGTATGTAACTCACGTTGCAAAAGTCTGTTTGTCCTACATTGTCTTGCATTTGTATATTTCCGTATTTTTATATTGAAATTTACAGTATACTTTTCTTATCGGACATACATTTCACCTCGTTATACGTTAACTAACTATTTTTGTGAATCCGACAGTCTGTTAAGGATATCAGATATTAGAATAATAGGAAAAAAAGTTGGAATACATAATTAAGAGTTCAAATATTTGCGAGCTCAAAGTTCAGGACGACCATATGCAAACAGCCTTAATAATGCTGCAAATATAGCGATTCACCCAGCAACCGGAAAACCCTTATATCGTTAACCACACATCAACGCGAATGACCTCTTACTATGCTCTTCGAGACATGAATGATAATGACTGGTACTGGAATGCGGCTGAAGGAAATAAAGATGTACGTTTTAAAGGAGTTTTCTATCGTATCTATAACTGTTAACGAAATGCAAGGTATATCGGCCAATTCGTATTCCGAAGCCGCTGCCGCTTTATGGATGGATAATAGGAAGTATATCAATAACAGTAAGGCTGTTGAACATTTGGGGTCGTTTCAAATTAGGATTATACAGCGCAATTGACAAGTTTAACAGGCATGGTTCGCTTTGTACTAGCAGAAATTGAGAATGAATTTGGCCAAAGCATTCGACTCACTGTACGATTAGCTGAGCCATTCTTTTTAAACATGTTTGAAACAGTAAGCGGATGACTTCGAAGAGAATGGTGAACAATCTTCGGCTTATCAAACCATTTCATATGATACAACGGATGAACTGAATATTTTATGCAGACTCCATGACGAAAAGCTGAATTTTCTAAAACTCATTCTCGCCATTCTTCCTGAAGAAGTCGTAGGACCAGATTTGGTAGGGAAACTAGTGCCATTGTTCTTACAAGCGAAGCTCGATGGCTTCAATAACTTTCTCAAGCCTTGAGAACAATAAACCTTTACGGTTTCTTTTAATAGTCAAAATCTCATAACGAACAGACTCTTATGAAACTGTTAGAGAAGGAGTTAAATGATGAACACAATCAAAACGTCTACTGCAAATGAATTTTAGACTGCTTAAGAAAGGATCACACACAAGTGCAAATAAGAAATTGCATTCTCTGCACGTGTTGAGCAGAAAGCTTCGGGCAGTGCTGTAACGCCAAACAGCTATTTGACGACACGGCCATCGAAATATTGAAAATGCGGACCTTGTATCTATAAACAAACTTTTTACCGATTTTCCATCACTTAAACTTTTACATGTACAGGATTAGCTAAATCAGCAATGGTGTACTGTTTTCCGTATCATAATCATTAAATGTAAAAGAAGCATTAAAATTGCGATTTCAAACCACCTAAAATTTTTGGTAATTTTCTTTTTACCACATTCTTCCTTTAAAGCATCATTCAACTCCATTTTATTCTTTTGAATGGATTTCTCAAGGTCTAACTTTTCCCATAATATTTGGATAATGAGAAAACCATATTTATAATCAAATAACCCATTTATCGTCGTCGTCTTATCAAATCGAAGCTGTGGATGTTGATCCTGATGCCTCGAAAAATAAAGAAAAGAAATTCTAGTGCTTAGTACCCTAGAATTGTGTCGATCACGTGATTCCGATTCCAATGCCGACCATCTTAAAATCATGCATCTATTTATGAGAAAATCTAACAAAAAATGTCCCTTGCGAAATTTTAAACATAACCTTAATCCTAACCAAAACGCCTAATTAAGGAGATATCGATGGTCAGCATTGGGATCTGAATCATGTGATCGACGCTTTTTTCGCCATGGCTCGAGTACATGAACTATCGCTATCTAGTATAGTAGCGGCAGCGATATTTGATTTTCGGACCAAATATAGTAATTTAGATAATCCAACTACATGTACATGTAGGAGACAGAAGCAATCGCAATTTGTCATACATAAATTGCTAGTTTAGTCTAACTACGTACCGAAGTCCGTAGCGGTAGGAACAGTTTGATCATTACGATAACGATAGTAAATACCATTGAGATAGCATTGTGGCTGACTAACTTATTCTGACTGATTACATATAAGAATATTCAGTGGAAAATAGTACATGTATTAGCGTTAGTTCAGTACCTGACGAGAAATTACATATATAAATATTTGATTTTTCTCTTCGAAATAATAATAATAAGAATAAGAATACAATAACAATAATAATGAGCGCTGCAGCATCCGAACAAATTCAAAAAGTGACCTTAAAAAGCCGCGACGAAAAAGAATATAAAGTCGATGTAGCGGTCGCAAGTCGGTCCATTTTGCTAAAGAATATGATTGAAGGTTTATTTGTCGTTTCTGGTTTTTTTCATTTTTTCAAATTATAGTAATGTATTTGTTATTTTGTGCCGTAGCACGTATTGCCGTTATCTCTAAATTATTTTTCTTCTGAATTTGAACAATAATAGATGTTGGCGAGTCAGACCAAGCAATTCCTCTTCCAAATGTTGACGAAAAAGTTTTAAAAAAGGTAGAATGGGGGGGGGGGTTTGATCATTTAAAAGGTTAACTTAATTCCTTTAAAATAATAAAAAAAAATTAGGTACTTGAATGGTGTGAGCATCATATCAACGACCCATTACCAACTGGCGATGAAGAATCCCAACGTCGACATAATAACGCTGAAATCGACGACTGGGACCAGAAATTCTTAAATGTCGAGCAAGATCTCTTGTTTGAAATTATCTTGGTAATTTTATATTTATTATTTAACGATTGGAATATTTGATTTCCTTCTTGATCTTTTTGAAAAGGTGATGCTAGTGTTCTGTATTTCATCTGCATACTTTAAATAAAAATCAGGCTGCTAATTATTTGGACATCAAGCCATTACTGTAAGTCTATCTTAATTTTCAAATTTTCTCACTATCGCTATTGACTATCTCAGCATTTAACGAATAATTAATTTGTCCGTTTAGTGACGTTGGCTGCAAAACAGTCGCAAACATGATCAAAGGCAAAACGCCCGATGAGATTCGTAAAATGTTTAATATTCAAAACGATTTTACTAAAGAAGAGGAGGAACAGATTCGTAAGGAGAATGAGTGGGCCGAGGATCGATAAATGTGTGTTCCATTTATTAAATACTTTGTCGTCATGTAAAATTGTCTGACTTATCTTTATTCTATATTCCTTAGTGCATAAAGTATTGCATTAAATTTAACAAGTATCAAAGAGAAATGGAATAGATGAATGAATATATAAATAAATAGAATTGTATTAGAAAATCGCAAGAATATTGGAATGCAGAAATTAAAATATATCTTTGCCATCTGATCCCAATTCTCTCTTGCTACTGAATAGTTATTCTTTTTTTATTGCTGCCATCTTACTTGTTTTTAAATTTATTGTTTCCACAATCATTCTCTTCTTGTTCTCATTATTTTGTCTTTGGCTCCTTGTTTCTATTTATTAACGGTATCTTTTTTTGAAAGAATGGAAACTATTCTTTTCTATAAATTGTTTCTCATATAATAAATTATTTTTTTAAAATAAAATTTTAATTCTGTCTCATTTAATTAAGTTATTAGATATTAGGATTTATTTTAATATATATATATTAATTATATATATTTCATAAAAAATTTTTACTAGTAATAAATTTTTTGAATTTTTATCTCATAAATTTTACTAAATAAATTTGATTAAAATTAATATTAAACATATATAGTAAATAATTTAATTGTTAAACTTAAGACTTAATTTCACAATAACTACTGATTCAATCTTTATGAAATTTAAAATATATTTTTATCAAATCTATAGCAATATGATTGCATAATTTGAAGTTCTAATATAGCAAATTGACAAAACTAATGCTTAAAATGTATTTTTTAAAATAAAATATTTTTTTATTTTGTTTTTTTAGAAAAGTATCGCATTATTTATTCTTGAATAAAGTACAAAAGAACAATATAAATAATATAACTAGTTAGTTTAGATTATTCTTTATTTAATGTGTAAAAAATTATAGAAATTAGTTAAATTCTGAATAACTTTTATTAGAAGCAATTATTAATTTTTATTTTGAGGCACGAATCTTTTTGCACCAGACCATAGTTATAAATAAATTTTCATGAGATTTTGAAATTATGCTGCTCATTACTATTATATGTGAAGGTTTTTTTTTCTTGTAAATTATTAGCGAATTAAAATTTGTACATATAATAAGAAAGAAGTTTACCTGCTAACACTTTGAATAATATCTTATTAAAATTATTTGTAAAATACAATTCATGTTAATATAATCTAATTTGTAGTTATAAGTAACTTGTTCCTTACATTGTTAAATGATGCCCATAAATTTTCATAAAATTTTGTGAATTTCGCATTGTGTTATAAACAAATTATGATTTCCGGATCTTTATGGCACCAAATGTACACTTATATCAGTAGCACGAAAAAAAATGCATAGCTGAATAAATAGTAGAGAAACAGATAGAAATATAAGTGTATAAATTAATAAATTCTATACTCTCGAAAATAAGCAAATAAATGATTCAATACGATAATGAAAAGATGATTCTAACTAAAAGGGAATTAAAAACACAAAAACGCAGGAAAAGCTAATTTATATTTATTAATCTTTCTTTTTCAGCTGCAGTTTTTTATACCAGCTTTTAGCTTTACTAGTATCTATAGAAACACCAGTTTCATTTTCATAACACCAACCAAGATTACCTTGTCCTCCTGCGTTTCCACCCTCTACTGATTTCAAATATCACTCAAAAGCTTTTTTCTCATCTTTTTGTGTTCCGATTCCATTTCGATAGGTGTATCCTAATAAGAATTGAGCTGAAGGCTTATTATCGCTTGATAATTCTATGTAGATTTTTAATGCTAATGCAACATTCTTTGCAACTATAAATCCGGTTTGAAAAAGAAACCCTGAAAGTAGCTTATATCGTGCATTAGTTTCCAAATATTTCTGGATTTCAAAAGAATTCTGATTGTTTAAGTCGTAATACGATTGTAATTCGGCACCTA